CTGAGCCCCGGCCCAGGGGCTCCGGCAGGTAGCTTCCCTGACTCCTGCACACCTTGCATTCATCACCAGTGGGCCTCTGCACCGCACGGGTCTGGTCAAATGGGCCACGACTGTTCCCCTCCCACCTTGATTAGCCACCTGGCTTGTAAACACCTGGCGAGGTGGGCAGGTGGGAGAAGCAGGCTGTACCGGGAGGAGGCAGTGGTTGCTTACTGTCTGCTAGGTGAGCGTTGTAGCCCAGATGGGCTTGTTCATCCTCTCCACAGACGGTGTGCTGGAGGCTGTGTGATAATCTAAGCCCACTTTAAAGGAGTGGAGATTTCCTCAGTTAGATGGAATTGCTAACGGCCTCTCGAAGCAGAGAACTCGCTGTCCGTGGCACTGTTGAGAGGCTGGGTGCTGTGAAAAGAACACTTGTCTTGAGGCAGAGGTGGTGGTTCATGTAGGATCTTGAAAATGGATGAGTCTATAGCAATTATAAATTTAGCTTGTAATTAGGCTCCTACCACTGGTCTGCAAAGAAAAACAGGCATAGTTTACCACAGCAGCTGACTGTAAAGTCTTAACTTTTCTACTTGAACCTACATATATCATATAATTGCTAATTTTTTCTTCTTTTTTTTTTTTTCAAGTAGGGGTGATTCTTCGAGAGAGCCTTCAGAGTTTACAGCTTTGATTTTACACTCGGCTTTTGACACTTCCTTTAAATTATGTTTTTATTAAGAATATTTTATTATGGGGGAAAGGCGTTTGGGAAACTACGTGACTTGCATGTCCCATCATGTGTATCGGCTCCCACGCGCGGTTGTGCTGCCTGATATGTTGACACTTTCATTTTTAGTCCCCCAGCCTCAGATGAGAAGCAGGATGTCTGGACAGGAGCGGGTGACAGACGGGGCTGGTGGGGTGCCTGTCAGTTGCCTGGTTTCTCCAAGTACCTCAAGTCATTGTGGATTCGAGGGTGTAGCCTGTTGCTTCCCCACGGAGGCCTAGAGCATTGTAAAGAGTGCCCCACAGGGGTAATTTTAGCTTAACGATTACAACACTTGGTGCTGGTAACCCGAGGGCACTGCTTGCTGCAAAGAGCCAGTGGGATCTCTCAGCGCCGATTGTGGCTGATACCCGTTGTCCAAAGGGACCGTCAGAGTTTGGTGTGTCACATGAAACAGCAAGAAACGTGTGTGTCTCTCTGAAGCGTGATCTTTAGAATCCTTGTCCTCTGGCTGTGCTTCTCTCCTGGGGCTGGGAAACACTCCTTGCATCAAGGGGTCGCTTAAAAAAGAACAAAGAATCTTTTGGGGAAACTGCCTCTAAAACCCTCTCACATGTACACAGCTTTGCTTGAGGGGGACTTCTTCCTTCCAGGATGTTACTGCAGTCAAAATGCAATACGAAAATCTATTTTCTTTATGTGATGTAATGACAGGCACAGCTGAGTGCCCATTATATTCTGGCTGGACTTGGTGTATACTCTAACTTAAGAAATAAACAATGCAGAACGGGAGACACACTTTGTAATGCTCTATGTCATGGCCGAATGGAAAGTGTCTAAGCACGGTGCCAGATGTGCCTGTGTGCGGTCACCTGAACTGTCTGCCAGTCCCAGGCTGTCTTCCAGGAGAGGACCCTTTCTTTTTCATAGGAACCAGAATTTCCCAAAGGCTTCACATTTAGGTTCTCAGCATATGATGACAGATTCAAAGCATGGGTGCCAAGTGTGCTCTTCGATTTTAAGAAAGTAGGGAGTGGACATGTTATTTATGACGGAGGGCCTTCTGTTTGCCAGGCGGGGCCCTGGGCTGTTCACACACATGACCAGGGAACAGCAGGACTGCTCTGTCCCCTGCATATCCTCTGCTCCCCCAGCCTCCTGAGTCCAGGGCATGGTCCTGCACGGTGTTTCCTCCAAAGTGAACGTAGCAATATTGAACCTGTGCTCCTGGTGGCATGTTGGTGACACTGGCACCCACTCACCCTCCAGCTGCTGAGCACACACCTACTCATGAGCTCTGTCCTCTGCAAAGTCTGAGGTAGAGGCTCAGGGCTTGGGCTGGGTTCCTCGTCAGTGGTCACAACCTTGACTCATAATTTGAGAAATTGGGGATTGAGGAGAAGGTGTTTCTTTCTCACCACTTGGCATAGCTCCTTCAGAGAGATCCAGGAAGGAAGTGGGCTCCCTGTTACCTTTTTACCTACTATGTCAAGGCCACCATCACCACCGAGGCCCAGAAGCTGGTGTTCTGCCTCCTGACCAAGAGCAACCCAGAGGCCTTGGTCTCTGTTTTCCATGGACTAAAATAACATGTCTCGATTTACAGAGGTCTTCATACCCATCTTGGTACTTTGAATCTGGCTAACTGGGTGGATACTAACCTCTTTTCCTACCTGGTGGTCCCATCAGACAGTTTTCATTTATGTTTATAAAAAGTCATTCTGCAAAAAAATGAGGACTCTGACATGCCCCCTCACCCACTGGTGACAGCAGTGCTCCTTGTAGCAGGGAGGACTTGCCTGGGTGTCCGGTGGTTTGCAGAAGCCTCGCAGTAGTTAGACGTTCCCTCTCCTGCCTATATGAGTGCTTCAAATGACCAGTTGTTAAGTGCTGGCCACTTGTATAACCTTTCTAGAAAAGGGACCTCAAATGCCTTTCCAGGGCTTGCAAAGCCTGACCAGCCCTGCCAACCCTGGCTGTGGCAGACAAGACCATGCCAGGAACGAGGGCTGAAGCCCAGACTGCACAGGACGGTGGCCTCCCATGCCCGGTGTCAACTGACCAGTACTGAGGCTTTTTGGGGAGGAGACCTGGCAGGGTTTCTCTGGTGTCCTTCATTTCAACCCCGGTGATCCAGGCAGGTTCATAGCAGATTGTAGCAGCTGTTACAACATGACTTTACCTGGCCTTTGTAGAAACCGGCTGTTTCCCAGTAAGCATTTCTGAGGATTGCGATGCCTGGGCTAGCATCTAGCATGAAAGCAGGAAAGGGAGGAATACAGTGCTGGGGAGGAGGATGTAATTTAATATAGGGTGGGTAGGTGGAGAGGAAAGAAAAGGGAGTCCAGCAGCTGTCTGGGGAAGGAACATTCCAAGCAGGGGAATCGGCCAGTGCAAAGGTCCTGAGGCAAGTGTGCTCATGAAACAGGTTGGTCAGTGTAGCTGGAGCATGAGCAAAGGGCAGGAGGAGGAGTTCGGGGCAGATGGGTCAGGTCATAATTGCGTAGACCCGTAGACCACAGTTTGGGCTTTGCTCTTGATGAAATGGGCAGCCCTTGAAGGGCTTTGAGTCCCGGCCTGGTCTGATCAGACACTGGCTTTATAGACTCTCTGGCTCTGCTGGTGGAGATGGTGGAGGAAGTGAATGAGCAGGACTCCCTCTCCAGTGGCTGGAGGATGCTTGGAATGGAAGTCAAACCCTTTCTGTGCAGGTACAGGTGTGTGCTCGAGAGACACGGTACCAGCCTGATGAGGACAGTGCACTGTAAAAAAATGACGGTGAAAGACATTGCCATTAATCCCCATCAAAATACACCCCCTCATGGGCCGGCCGAGTGGCGTGTTGGTTGAGAGCTGGCTTGGGATGCCGGGGGGGGGGGGCCGGGGGGGCCGGTTCAGATCCCGCGTGTGAGGGCCAGTGACATTGCCCTCTGCGGCTGAGATGCTGAACAACAGCTCAACCTGGAGCTGGGCTGCCGTGAGTCGCTGGCAACTGCAGGTGGGTTGCCATGGGCTGCCGTGTGTGGCCAGCAGCCAGCGTGGGCGGCCGTCCAGAGGCTGGCGACTGGTCTGCCTCGTCTGGGAGGGGCACGGTGATGGTGCCAACTTGGGCCAGTGGGGCGCCGTCCTCCACAACTAGACTGAAGAACAGGAGGATAGCGACTTGTCTGTTCCTCTTCCCCCAATTCCCCAATAAAAATCTTAAAAAAAAAAAAAATACACCCCCTCGCTTTGAACACACTCATCCTATCATTCTTGCCACTTTCTGAAGCAGTTCTGAAAGTCTTTCATGAATGTCTTTAGTTGCATTGTCATGGCTGCCTCGATGTCCTGAATCGATTCAAAACGTTTACCTTTCATGGTCATTTTGACTTTGGGGAAGAGCCAGAAGTCACAGATGCCAGATCCAGTGAATAAGGTGGATGAGGACAAACTGTAATGTTTTTATTTGACAGAAATTGCCATATACCAGAAGCGATGTGTGACATGGAACCTTTTGTTGTGATCACAAAATACAGTGAATGCTGCTGCCAAAGTGCCATCCAGCGGAAAGGCAGAGGTCTTCAATACTGGAAGCAGCGCGTCAAACCTTAGTAACAGTGTGTGACAAGTTTCAACTTGTTCAGTGGTCAGTCAGGTGTGAGCTACGGTTGAGAGACGGTGTGTTTTAAACTGTGCTGTCAGTCATCCTCCATCATGACAACACTTCATGTCACACATCGCTTCTGGTATGGCAGTTTCTGTCAAAAACATGATGGTGTGTTCTCATCCACCTTATTCATGGGATCTGGCACCATGCGACTTCTGGTTCTTCCCAAAAGTCAAAATGATTTCAGGACATCGAGGCAGCTACAACAGCGCAACTAAAGACACAAGAGAGGACTTCCAGAACTGCTTCAGAAAGTGGTAAGAACGATGGGATAAGTGTTTGAAACGAAGGGGAGTGTTTTGAGGGGGGTTAATGGCAATGGGTCTTTTACTGTAATAACTTTTTTAAAATTTAAACATTCACTGTATTGTTTGATCACACCTTGTATCTTACAGATAAAGAAATGGAAGCGTAGAGGTGTAGCACTTTGCCCCAAGGTACTCAGTCGTTAAGGCAGCGCTGGGCCTGAACGCGACAATCTGGCTCCTCCCTCCCTCAGCTCTGTGCTGGGAGCCCAGGGCTGGCTCGGCCGCCTGGACCAGAGGGGCACTAGGCACGGGACTCAGGACTCAGCTGCATCCAACTGGCTGGCTAAGTGTCCTGGAAATAACCTTTCCTGCCCCAGGTCCATGTAATTGATTAAAGAGCTACGATAATCACAAGTTCCAGCAAGCCAGGGGTAGGGGCTGCCGGGTGGCCTGTTAGCTCTGTAACCACAGTTACTGAATGTGCCTTGCCATCAGCTGAGGGGCTTTTCCAAGATGACAAATTCCTTCCTGGCCCTGTCCAGCCAACTGGCGTCATTGACCCCAGCTGGGCAAAATGAGCATTTTAGGGAGAGGGACAGTCCCCTCTAGCTCAGCCCTAGGATACCTCTGGCCAAGTTTTTACAGGTTCTTTCTGAAGGGAAGAAATGGTGTTGCTGAAGGAGTGAGGAAGTGTGATGCTCCCATCGTCTCTGAGCACAGTTTTATTGGGAGGCCTTTGGCTCAAATAGGAAGCCCCTGTGTTCCTAGGAAGTGTGCTGGCTTCCCGCTTCCCGCCCTCGCTTGCCCTCCGGGGCCGTCACAGGACGCAGCAGGTGCAGGAGACGGGCCCATGTTGCTGCAGCTGCTGCTGCAGCTGCTCCTTCTCCGTCGTCAGCACCTTCACCCTCTCCTCCAGCTTGCTCAGCTCCGCTGTCCACTTCTGAGGGGTCATTGTAGAAACGGATATCTAAGCGGACATCGCCTCAGGCCTGCACACCCTCTACCCAGAGTTGAACTTACGGAGGCAGGCAAGGCCCAGAGAGCCTGGGGTGGGGCTGCTCGAGGCCACTGGGCACCGTATTGGCACTGCTACGTGGAGAGGCCAGGTTCCCTGACCAGGCAGTCACCCCTGGGGGCCTGAGGGAAGCTGCCTGACCCAAGAATGACCCAGCCTCCTTGATACCAGGGGCAGGCTCAGGGTGCCAGCTCCCCACACACCTCCCCGCTGCCACATCCTTCCCTCGCTCGTTAGTCCCTTTTTTGCCACCTGATGCTTCCCTCTTGAAATGGTTTTTCCTTGGGACGGTGTCCAGCACTCACAGCTACCCCCTACTTAGAGGGCCTCCCCCACAAATTCAGTACACAGTCCTCAGGGTTGTCTCGAAAGTTCTCAATATTCTACTCTACTGGTTCCCCAGCCATGCAGCAGTGGCATACGGGAGGTAGTGGGGCCATTTCAGTACACTGGGTCATTGGAGCACCAAGGGAACCTGAGGGCTCGCCCAGAGCTGCTCAGTGAGTGGCGAAGGGGCCCAGGGCCAGCTTGGCACCCCGTCCCAGCCACCCAGCCTCAGCTGCTTACCTGTGTGCACCACTCCTGGATGGCGTGGACGGCCAGAGGGCCCTGGATGCTGCCGTCTCGGCGCAGGAATACCTCCCCGTGGTCTGTCTCGTAGAGTTGCGGCTGGGCTTGGACCTTGGGGGCATGCACGCTCAGGCGGACCACCTGGGTAAGGGCAATAGCGGCTGTGGCGGACGCTGCACCGGACTGTTTGCAGCCCAAATCCCGCCTCGCTCGCTGGCTCCTGAGGGCAGCCTGCTGGGGCTAGAGCAGGGCTGTTTCCATCCTCTTCTCCAGTCACCTGTTTCCCTGCTGGGGCCCCACCCCCACCCCCGCACTGCATAGAGTAGATGTAGAGTGATGACATGGCAAATGACAAAACAGCCCCAGAGGCCTGCCAGTCCTGCAGTTCACCTTGAGGGGCGTGTTGGGGGCGGAGGTGCTGACCACCGGGATGAAAGTGAGCGTGTAGGCATCGGGGAAGACCTGGGGCCTGAAGCCCTGCAGGATGGAGTCCACCAGGAGGCGCACGCGGTCCTCGTCACGGTGGCTGCAGCGGATGCCCTGCACCAGGCCGCTGTCCTCGACGCCCACGAACAGACTGCCGCCCTCGCTGTTGAGGAAGGCGCACACGTAGCGCCGCAGGTGGTGCTTGAAGGTCAGGCTCAGGTACTCGCCGCCGCCCCGCTTGAACTCCATGTTGCGCGTCTCGCTGCCCAGGAAGGCTCCTTGGAAGAGCCGCTCCTGGCCCCGGATCTCCTGGTGCACGATGGCGCTGTCCGAGCGCGTGCCACTGGGTCGGTGCTGGGAGCTAGGCTGCCCTGGGGCCAGGGCAGGCGGGGTGTCGGTTGGCGGGCGGCGGGAGCTAGGGCTGGGTCCGGGGCTGGGTCCGGGGCTGCGGCCAGGGCTGGGGCTGCTGTCCTGCTGGGGTGGAGCAAGAGTCGGGAGCCCCAGGCGGGGCAGTGTGAGGGACAGGCTACCAGCACCCCCATCTCCACCCCCCTGGGGTCCAGCCCACTCAGGCATCCTCATGACCCCGCCCAGGCGGAGGGATCTAATTCTGCCCAAGGTCCTGCAGCCAATGCAGGAAACTCAGCTGGGGCAAGGGTGTGAACCAGCCCCTGCTCCTATCAGGCTGAGCTGCCCTCTTCCCAGGTGGACTGTGAGATGCATGGCAGGTGAGACGAGCTCTCCTCCCCTGAGTTGGGAGCTCGGACACCTGTGGGCCGATCTCTTCCCACCTGGGTTGTGGGTAGGCCTCTGAGGCCCAGGACTGGATCATTGCAGGAGATGCCTCAGTGCCCTGAGGTCCTGTGTAACCCAGCTTCAGGTCTCTGAACTGAGAGGGGCTCCCTGAGACCCCACCCCCTCCCTGATCTCCCTGAAACCCTTGCTGATCACTTTTGGACCGTTGGCCAGTCCTCCTGAATCTCAAGCCCTCCTGAGTGCCCTCCATGGTTTCTGCTCTGTTTGGGAGCTCTGGTCATGTGCTCGTAGCCACCTCCCTGGTCTGCATTGGTCAGCCCCGCACTGGACTTCCTGCCTCTAGGCTCTCCTCAGCCCCGCATCCTTACTGACCCTAGATGGAAGTCAGATTGCTGGGTTCTCTGCTGCCTTCCAGGGTCTGGAAGCGGCTTCCGGGGCTGGGAGCTCAGTGTGAGCTGGGGCATGGTGATAATGGGCGTATTCTACCAGCCCTGCAGCTCCCAGAGAAGACAGATTTATCAGAAATGGGAGAAACTGTCATACAAACATGAAATCAGGCTCGCAGATCTTGAAATGTACGTCACAGAGCTGTTTAGTTCTGCAACAATTTAAACACCATGGAGTTTGCACGCCTCCACACCCTCCTCCCCCCAAAAATAAACCAAGATCACCTGTCTCCTAGTGACCTGCACAGCCTCAGTGAGCTGTTTCCTCCCGTCCCCCACAGAAGCCAACCCTTCAGCCCCGCTCTGCCTTGGCCTCTTCCTTCACTCTTCCTGCAGCCTTCAGCCTGAGCCCAGGGACACCCAATTGCTTGCCCTACTGCATATGTCACGTTCCTCCTCACCAACCCGCTCCTTTGGATGAGCCATGTTTCTCTGCCTAGAGTGCCTGTCCCATTCGGAAGTCCCAGACTGGATTTCAGTTCCCCTGCTAATTTGTCCCCAGCAGTTGAAAACCCTCCTGTGTCTTCCCACAGCTCTAGGAGGCCACCTTGCAGCTTTGTCATTGGCTGTGTCTGGCTCTGCTCATAGACGGAGGGCTCCTTGAGAGCAGGGCTGAGCCTTTGCTCTCTGCTTTGCTACCTGGCACAGAGCAGGTGTTGGTGTTTGTCAGTTGAATGAATGAGACGGGCCAAGGAGAAAATCAGGACCCCAGTGGGACCTAAGGCTTGGGCTGGCCCAGACTCAGAGGCCTGGATGCAAAAGGACCCAGGGCGGAAGTCCCACACACCGGCCTTTCTTCATATGCTTCCAGGCTGGAGGCAAACTCTAAGGGTCCTTGTCCCTCTGGGAGTAAGTTGGCAGTGCCAGCTTCAGGCCACAGTCATTTGGGTAGCAGCCTCCAAGTTTGCAGATTTGTCCCAGTTTCTCAGATACCGCTCTACCACCACCCAGCACAGGCCACCCATAGCCAGGCCTCTTCCCGGGATTAGGCGCTGGGGCTCACAGGCCTAGTGGCTCTGAGAAAGCCCCACTTACCTCTCTGTGGTTTGTGAGGACCCGGTCCTTATCCAACACCAGCTCCTTCCCGTGGGCCACCAGCTCCTTGAGGATCTGGTGCTCTTGCAAGGCTGTTTGCAGGCGCCAGGGGAGGGAGGCCAGGGTGTCCTCATGAGTGGCCACCTGCACCAGTGCATAGGCCTTTCGGGGCCGCCTCACCACCTCAATGTGCTCCCGTGCCACCGGCAGCTCCAGCCGCTCCAGGGTGTCTCGCAGCAGGCAGGTGAGCACTGGCACTGAGAACTGAGGATTCAGGTGGCCCACGTAGAGAGTATGCTTGCGGGGAGCCACCTGGAGGCCTGAGTCCTCAGGCAGGGGCTGTTCTGCAGGGAGCTCCTGTGGGGGCTGCTTGCCTGGGGGCTCCATGAGGGGCTTCTGCACCTGTGTTTGTGCTGACCTCTTCCTGGGGGTCTCCGGCACCTGGGGGTCTCTGGTACAGACCTCAGAGGGGCTTCTGGGAGTCCTTATCACTGGCTGCTCTTCCCAGGGCCCTGGGTTCTCAGCTTGGTCCATAGCCTCCCAGGGGACTCAAGGGGTGCCAAGGCTCCTGGGAGGTTCACAGATTGGCAGGGGCTGGGCAAGGCCAGGGAGAGAAAGGGAGGGCAGAAGGCTAGCAGGAAGGGGCCTGCCACCCACCTCGGGCCTAGGACAGGAAAGCGGAAAGTTAGACAGCGCTGAGCCAGAGAACAGAGCATGTGAGCCTGCCCCTCCGTTCCACAGAAGGACAGACTGAGGGGATATGCCCAAAGAGGGACAGAAAGGACCGGGACTCAGGTCTCTGAGGGCCCGCCATATCCTTTCATTGGCCCAGGGGTCCTGTCTTCCCTCCTCAGTCCTCAGGCTGGGGCCTTCTAGGCGCAGTCAGGGTTTCCTGCCCACCAGAGATTACTGCTGCCTCCAGGCACCAGAGGAACCTTTTCAAGGGCCTTTGGAGAAAAGGTTTTAACTCAGCAGCAGCAGTGGCCCCTCGGCTGCTTCTCCTTGCCTAGTCTGGACCTGGTGTGAGCCCAGCAGAGGCTCTGAAACAGGCTTGGGTCAGAGGGTTTTAGGGCAGAGGTTCTTATGCTTAGGGCACAATGATGAACGCTGGGGCCTTTCCCCAGAAAAATGGCCTTTGCATATAAACATATATTGGGTTGTTGGAAAAATCATGACGCATTTTTGCAACGAAAACCAGAAAAAATACGCCATGACTTTTCTGACAACCCAATAATTTAAGGGGCTCGTGGACCCTTCTTAAGAACTCCTGGTCTAGACTGAGTCCTCCGTTTTTGGTCCAGAGAGCAGAAGTGAGGAGCAAGGCTGGGACCCTGCGTATCCCCACTCCGCCTCCGACCAGGCCGGGGGCCTCTCTCCTGAGCTGTACACACACACCAGCCCCTCCGCTTACCCCCGCACACCCAGCCTCCGATCTGTGTGGCAGGTACCACCAGCCTGCATCTTTTCAGACTGGATCCTCGAGGCAGTCAGGGTCTGGGGGCCACCTCGGCTGGGGTGGGGGCATTCAGAGCAAACAGGAATTAAAAAAAAAGGGAGGCCTATGACCCTCATGTCCTGATGGTTCCTGGGGTGTGTGTGGGAGGTGCCAGCTCTGAGCTCCCACAGCCCCCTGACCCCTGGGCAGCAGCTCCCAAGGGCACTTGGGGGCTTGGCACAGGGTGGCAGGGAGAACCAGGGCTGTAGGAAGTGGGCGGGGCCTGGGCAACTACCTCTGTGATCTCATGAGAGTCAACAATGCCTTCTTGGCCAGCCTCAGGAACTCAGGCAGGCAGGGTTGAGAGGTCAGTCAGGAGCCGGCCTCCCCCCACTCCCCACCCCAACTGTAAAGTCAACAGATGCGTACAGCTTGGCCCTGGGGCTCCTGGGCAGCTCCCAGAACCTGGAAGTGGAAGATGTACTTCCTTCCTCTGTAATGTCTCTCTAGGCCCTAGTGCCCGTGCAGGTCCCTGGTGCGACAAGTCTCCCCCTCCTAACCAATCCCAAGCTCCACTGAGCACGGATAGGGCCCAGCTACGCCCAGGACGGATCAGAGTGCACACAGTTGGTTCTGGGGCTCCCTCTGACACCAGGCCCTTCTCTATGCCAGAGACAAAGGCTGCTGTCCAGAAGAGCCCTGAAAAATAGGTCAAGGCCCTTTTGGGGCGTACCCTGAATGAACAGCACAGCCTACTGGACCCGTGTCCAGGAGTCTGGAAAACTGGTGCCTGACGGAGACCACGGTTAGAACCTCACAGTGGCCAAATAGGAAAGACATTCTAAGCTAATCATGATGTTGGAACTACTTACTGGTGAGAGCGGGCAGGGCCCTCAGAAGTCTCATTCAAACCCCTCAGAGCCAGATGGACCCAAAGAAAGGAAATGACTGACCCAAAGTGTCACAGGAAACAGCAGGACTGGCTGGAACCTCAGCCTTGGCCTTGGCGTCAGATCGCTTGGCTTCAAATGCCTCCTTTGGCACTTCCTGGCTTTGTGATCTCAGCTTAACTTTCCTTGGCTATAAAATGGGTTTATTGTGAAGATTAAATGAGATCATTCTAATTCATGTAGAGCAGTTTGCGGGGCACACAGTGATATAAGTGCTATTATCAGGTTATACTGTACTGTGCTGCTGCCCCCTACACCTTTTTCTAAGGCCCCACAAAAAACAGGGACGTGTGGCCCTGGACGTTGAGTACCTGGCCCCTGGCCCGGCGAGGCGGCGTCTCTCCTCAGCCCATGAGGCTGAGGATGAACCCAGCCATGGAGGCTCCTGGGAGCTGCTGACCCCTAACATTGTTCTTCCCGCTCAGGCCAGTGGAGCTGCTGTGCTCACTGCTGTCTAGCTGCCCTGGAATGAAGCCCTTTCAGGTCAAAGAATGGACTCCCACAGTGTCTTCCCGGGAGGCTGAGCAACCTGGGGCCCTAGTGGGCATCTTTAGGGATTGCTGGAATTAGAAGAACTCTCAGGGGTCCTCTTGTCCGAGCGCCTCGTTTTATGTCTGAGGAAGGTAAGACCAGGAGGAGGGGCCTCCCTGCCCACTGGAGGAACAGTGATTTGGCTGCTGACTGATTAAAAGGACACTGGCATCTATATTGTTTTTTATTTATAAACAAATCGACATAAAATAAGTCCCGATGGCAGCGGGGCAGCTGTGCTGCTGACCTGCTTACAAAGGAAGCATGTGGACAGTGGAGTGGGTGCAGCCAGACTCTGGCCTGGAGACCCTTCCCTCCCACCCACTGTAGGGCTTTCTTGGCCTCAAATCATTGGGTCCAACCTTCTGCAGCAGCACCTCTGGCCAGGGCAGGAGCTGTGGTGGGGACAGCGCGGGGCAGGGGACTTGCGTTCTCACAGGTGAGGCCGGGGCTGCAACGGGCCCAGTGGAGGAAGAGCAGGCAAGGTGACAGGGGCCCCTCCTCCCCATGTGGGGTGATGTGGTCAAGGCTTTCTGGGTCTGTCCATCCCAAGGAGCAAGTGCCCTGGGGCAGTGTCCTCTGTAAGGGGGCCACGCCTCTCTGGCATCCGCGCAGGCCAGTCTCTCTCCTCCTGAAACCCCATGTCTGGAGTGGGAGGAGTAGGAACTGGAGGGCTTGCCCGAGTGCCAGAAACAATAAATTAACAATACGAAACGCTCTTTTTTTAAAAAAGGTAGAGGTTTGCACCATGAGTTTGGAGTCTGGGGATCTTGAGAGGAGAAGGAAGGCGCTGTGGGGCACTGGGTGCCACCCCAGGCCCAGCAGGTGGTGAGGGGCTGGGCATGAGTGTCAATTCAGGGCCCCATCTTCTGAGTCCTCAGGGGTCGGCCCCTTCCTCCATCACTTGGAAGGCGTTCAGTCTAAACTCCTGGTGAGAGGCCAGCCTGACGTGGGAAATAAATACAGGGGACCTGCGAGCCGAGGCCGGGCTGAGGGGGAGAGCAGCGCCAGCCCTGGGCCCCACACTCTCCCCTCCGTGGTCCTTCATGGAAGGAGGCATCATGACCAGAGGGGGCAGCAGGGGTGGCTCCGCACAGCCTCCTGGAGTCCTAGGCGGGCCTGAACCCTCTGAGGCACCGGGGGTGGGCTGATGGTCCTCCTCGGGGAAAGGGGGCCGCCCCGCCTGCTCCGCCCGCAGTCGTCCAGGCTGCACCCCCCTGCTCAGAACTTGCCCTGCTTCAGCCGGTCAATGTGGAAGGAGAGCTTGAGCGCGGGCCCCAGCTTCAGACCCATGTACTTCATCATCATGTCGCTGCGCAGCAGGAGCAGGGCCTTGCCGTCGATCTCCTGCAGGGGTGGGAGGCGGTGCCCTCAGAGGCTGGCCCGGCTACCCCAGGTTCTGACGCAAAGGCCACCCAGGGCAGTGCCAGGGAACCTGCTGTGACACCAGAGCCTCCCTGCTCGCCCCACCTCCTGTCTCCAACCACTCCTCCCCCCGTAACACCCACTGCTGAACCCACGGGCTCAGCTCTCCACAAATGTTTGTGCCAGTTTCCCTTTTCTGCTGCCTGCGGCAGTTTCCCCGCCGCCCAAACCGCTGAAATCTGCTCAATTCCATCTCTTCCAGGAAGCCTCCAGTCAGTGAACTTGCCACTTCTCACAGCCTGTTTGCACAATGACCTTCAACTGTAATTTTGTGAGTCCTCGTGCTTCCTGAGTGGCAGGGACCTTCTGTGTGAGCTAGGCTCAACGGAGGTACTTCCTGAGCAGCTCAGACCTTCAGGCCTGCCCTCTCCCAGTGGCATGAGATTTAAATGACCAGCGAGAGGTAGCAGATCTGTTCAGAGTGCCCGAAGGGCAGAACAGCACCAAGCAGCAGGGGCTGCGGGGAAATGGGTTTGGGCCCCAAGTCAGGAGGACGGTCACTGCAGGGAGATCAGCAGCAGGCCTGGCTGCAGGGCAAATGTCACCTGAAGAGATGGTGGAGGGGCTAGGAGAGGATGGGGGGACTGGTGAGGGTGGCGAGTTGGGGGGACTGACGAGGGTGGCGAGTTGGGGGGACTGATGAGGGTGGCAAGTTGGGGGGACTGGTGAGGGTGGCGAGTTGGGGGGACTGACGAGGGTGGCGAGTTGGGGGGACTGATGAGGGTGGTGAGTTGGGGCCACTTGGCAAGGGCCTCTTTACCTTGGGCTGAGGCCCCTGGTTCTCAGGCCGAGGCAGGCAGACGGGAGAGCGAGAGCTCCTAGGACTCCTGCAACTGAGCCCTCAGGGTACAGCTCGGGAGGATTGGCTGCATCAGACCCTCAACGAGAGGGGTGAGCTGAACTCAGTGCCCATGAGGGCTGTTTGAGACCCAAGATTCTGTCTCTAAATTTGTATGGTCCCCTGTGCCCAGATCCAAGGGCCCTGGAACAAATATCTAGCCCATGCCCTTTAAGAGTCTACAAGTAGCAGAAAAAAGACTGCCAGAGAACAGGCAGGGGCACCTACGTGTTTACGAAAGAGGTCGGCGTGGGGCCCAAGCTGAGGATCAGCTTCCCGGATAAACTGCATCACGTCCTCGACCGTCCATGAGGACGGGTCCCGGCCACTCGGTCGAGAGGCATCCCGGCTTTCCAGGTATCGGTCTGACCCTGCAGGACAGAAGGGCGGGGACTGGCTTGTAACTACTCACCACTCTCCTTGGCACATCCTGAAAGGCCCCATGGGTGAGGCTCACAGCCTTGCCAGAGCAGAGGAACCCACCGGAGGCAGCAGAGGAAGGGGAGGGTTTCCCACAAAGGGCCCGAGGGGCTGTGGCTCTTCTTAAGTCAAACTTTTGTTCTTTAAGGGTAGAGCTGGTTTTGAAAATGGTCAGAAGGACTTTTACATTGAGGCTGTGATTCATCCTGGACCCCAGTCCGGGGTAACAATGAGGTAAGGGGATTACTTGGGTTCAGTGGGGAGCTGGGGGGTAAGGCTGCTTTTGCCTTGGCTCTGGGGGCCATTTCTAGAGAGACCACAGGAACTGGGCAAGATTCGAGCCCGATGCCCTAGGCTTGGAGAGGAGGTGACCTCACCACAGCCTAACGCACAGAGGCAGAAAGCGGTTTTGCTTTGGCTACCAGGAGTCTCAGTGCTAACTTAGTGCTCTGCTTAGACTCTAAGCCTTAGCATTTACCTTGCTCTTGGCTCAAATGCAGCTCCTCCCCCTTCACCTGTGGGATGTGGGATCTCTGTAACTGTGGCCATCACCTGCCGCCAATCTCGGGCATGTTTCATCTCCTCTGCCTGGAAGGCGCCCCATCTCTACCACCTTCAGTTTCTTCTTTTCTTCGGCAAACTCCAACGTAGTTAAGCTAGAGCTGGCTTCAAGGACCAGCTCCTTTATGAAACTTTTCTGGTGTAATACTCAGATAATTGGTTTCACAAAGCATTTCCTGTATATCTTGGTTACGGCTCAACCTCTACTCACTTTCCCCCATCACTTCACCCTAATAATCTACTCCCTATAAAGCACTCAAAGCAACCTTTAAAAGTAACTGGATCATGTCAGTCCCTAAAACCTCAATGCAATGGCCTCCCATCACACATGACATGAAATCTCAACTCCTTACCAAGGGCTTGAAGGAACTCCGGGACCACCTGCCCTCTCTACCGTTGCCGCACATCGCCGCCCCTCCCCCATCCTTTACTCGCCATGCTCCGGATGTGCTCTCTTTCTGCTACTTGACCTGGCTATGCTTTCCTTCTGTGACCTGCAACTTCCTGTCTGGAGTGTATTTTTCCAGATCTTTGCATACCCAATTCCTTCTCAACATTTGCGTCTCATCTCAAATATCCGTTCCTCAAAGAAGTCTTCCCTGATCTCCTAGTAAAAGTACTCAATTTCTCACAGTTATTCTCAATTCAATTACTCTAGTTTTCTTCTTTCCTAGAACATATGACTACATAGAATAATTTTATGCATTTATGTTTATTATCTGTCTTCTATTTTGTTTCCTGCTATGTCCTTATGACACTGTGATTATAATAAGAAACATACATTTGGTCTTCATCCCCATTTCTGGCACAGAATTCTTAAAAATCCTTGTAATTTCCCAAGTGGTGAGAAATAAAGGTGTATTTTGTTATTCGTAACAAGCCCCTTTCAGCCACACCTGAGTATGTTAATGAGGTGACTTTTGGAAGGCTCCTAAAGATGGGGGCTGGTTGCCAGGGGAACTAACCAGGTGACTAGAGGGTTAGACCTTTCAGTCTCACCTGCCAACCTCCGGGGAAGGGAGAAGGGCTGGAGATTGAGTTCAATCACCAATGGTTAATGATTTAATCACTCATCCCTGTGTAACGAAGACTCAGTAAAAACCCAAAAGGGTGGGGGTTGGAGAGCTTCCAGATGGTGAACACGTGGAGGTGCGGGGAGGGCACGGAAGCTCCCCATCCCTTCCCCCACCCCTTGCCCTATGCACCTCTTCTGCTTGGCTGTTCCTAAGTTGTATCCTTTTACAAAAACCAGTCACCTAGGAAGTATCCAGATTTCCTGAGTTCTGTGAGCCGCTGTAGCAAATTAATGGAACCCGAGGAGGGGATGGTGGGAACCTCAGAAGTACAGGCAAAAACCTGGACTTTCGGCTGGCATCTGAAGGGCAGAGGATGCGGCAGTCATGTGGGACTGAGCCCTTAACCTGTGGGATCTGACTGTCTCCGGGTAGATAGTGTCAGAATTGAGCTAAATTGTAGGGCACCCAGCTGGTGTCGCAGCGTTGCTTGGCGTGGAGAGAGCCCACAAGTCTGGTATCAGAAGAGAGGTAGTACTGAATCGAGTATTGAGAGTAGGGGACACACCGGAGACTGTTTTCCTTTCACGGTCCCCAACACATAAAAGAGTGCCTGGTCTGCCACTGACGGTTAAACATGTTTGTTAAATGAATGAATGATCACGTGTAAGTTACTTGTGTATTTTTCTGTCTCCCCCACCAGGCTATGTCTGCCTTCAGGCAGGGACCTTGCCTTGCTCCTATCTGTATCCTCATCACCCAGGAGATGCCCAGTCACACAACTAAGTGGCAGAGCTGAAACACACCTGTGAAAGTAAAAGGGACCTGCTCTTCAACTTTCTCCTGAGAAGGCTAAAAATCTCTTCCCATTTTTCTGCGTTC